GCTCCCCCCGGGCCCCCCCCCCCCCAGCCTCGGGTCCTGGGGCAGTGGCACCAGCAGTATCTTCTGGTGCTGGAACACCACCTCCTGAGTTTGAGAAAGAGCAGGTCGGTTGTTCTTAACCTTGTTCCTTGCTGTCTCTCAGACAGAGAGGAAGATGCCACTTCAGCCGTATAACACAGCAGGGGTATTTGAACCACTATTAGTTACTCTACACATATGGTTGCAAGTGAAACAGTTTCTGGATGTATTTTTACACAGAGTTTTCACAGCTGTTATCTAGGGATTGCCATAGAGTTGTGACATGACTGATGGAGCAGCATAGGGATTACAACAGCCTCTATGTATAGGTACTGTTAGATGGTATAGCCTGGGTCACATTAAAGTGACTTAACCCAAACAATATTTAATTTAGTTTTGGATAAAGTATTGAAGGGTTAGAAGCCCTGATATGTTCTTATTGCTGCCCGGGGCCTCTTTGGGGAGATTTACTCTCTCTCTCTCTCTCTTTGTCCTGGTGAACATTGTCACCGGTACTGAAATTGAAGGGAAAATCCAAAATCTTTGAATTGTCAGGGCAACAGGAATAGAGGGTAAGGCCCCATTCACATTGAGCGATTAGCTAATTGCGCGTCTGATTCGCGATTTGCATTTTGCACGATATCGCGCGTTTGTCGCGCGATATCGCGCAAATGCTTGCATTGAATTGCATAGAATCGCGGCAAAATCCGCTCCAAAAAGGGTCCTGCTGTAGCGACGCACGACCCGCGACAGCGACGGACAGAGCCCCATTGAGATGCATTGGAGAGCGATATCGCGCGGTAAATAGCCGCGATATCGCGCGGATTACCGCGCGATAAATCGCTCAGTGTGAACGGGGCCTTAGTGTTTTGATAGTGAGACTTGTTGCTGTGACTGAAGAGGGCTTCACTTATTGTGGAGACATTTCTTCTCACTTGCCATTTGTTTCCACAGAACAGGAAGTAGAGGTACATTTCCAAAATGGCACACAGACAGCAAATGAAAACCTGACCTTTGTTTTAACCATTTCCTACTCTGTCCAGGTTTGGGTTTAGATATACTTTAATGAGTGATTATATTTCAAGTGCCTTTAGTTATACTTTTCTCCAAATGCACATGCAGACCAAGGGTTGGGGAAAACCATACAACACACCTTTCATTTTATTCAGATCCAGTTGACATTGTCTGTGCATAGCCCACCCCTTAGGCATGTATACATTCCCAGCTATGCTCCCTTGCAGCATACCTGCCTAACTAATTTTAATTTCTGAGCTTAGGCAATGCAATGATGTTATGACACCCCCATGCTCCCCTAAACCCAGAAGCCTTCTGTGTTAGCAAACGCACTGGCAGTGAGGGGAGGTAGCCAAGGGAGCATGGCTGGGTAAGAAAACATGCCTGGAGGGGCGGGATATCTGCAGAAACTGTCACGTAATGTGCCTCTGTTTTAGATCCTCATTGGCTCACTTGCCAGGGAGGACGATTCAGCGTCTTACAGGTCCATCATCAGCTCAGAGGTGGACCAACCAAGTGGATTCCCTACCATATTTCAGATCAAAGGTGTCATCATCAGATTCTTTATCAGGACCACAAAGACTTCCCATGAGCCTCAAGCAGAATATGTCTCCTCTGCTGGATCGATACCTGACCTACGTTCTGCTCTCCTCTCAGTCACCCAGTTCACAGGTAAGTCCTGAACAGGGAAAATATCAACCAAAGCCTTCTGCCTTTCTGTAAATTTTGGTCTATACAGTAAATGCCTCTCATTGCCCCACTTGCCATCATCTGAAACTTTCAATGTCTTTCTGTATAGCTGGGCTTACAGGACCCCAACCGTGTGAGGAATTCCCAGCACTTCTTTGCTGCCACTCACTCCTGGCCAGAGGGTGCGAGACGTGTTGTCTACGGGAGGCTTCAGGGTGGACCAGAATCACCTTTACCTGTTCAGTGGCCCAGTGACACACACCATTCCTGGGCAGAACTAAGAAGGAAGCTTCCCCGTGACAGTGTGGACAGCAGCTTAATGGATGATGTTCTAGACAGTACCGAAAGGATTGAGAGGATGAGCCAGATAACTAAAGGTGACCAGGACCGTCAGCCGAAAGAAGAAGGAAGGACACTGAAAGGTCAGTTTGCTTAGTTCTAAGTTAGTAGACTCAAGAGTGGGGCTATCTTGAAGGCAAGATTATGAAGGTGGTTTACTTAATGCACAAAGCCAGCAAGGCCCCATCAAGGACATTGATGAGGGACATTAGTCAGTGCTTGTTGACTAGTGCCTTGGACATTTTATTGGAGTTTATAATAAAGATCATAGACTTCAACAGTCATCTTTGACCATCACATTTATATCCCCTTTAGATATATTCCATTATGAGGTCCCTGATATGAAAAATAATCTTAAAGGAGAGCTATGAGGTGGGTGATTTTCACTCAACCTCATAGTATTAGCCAACGTGTGACAATAAAACTGTCACAGGTCGGCTCAATAGATCGGGAAGTGAGCGAACACATACCGTCGCTCGTTCACTTCTTGATCAATCCCTGCAGAGAGCCGTGACTGTCAGTCACGGCTCCCTGCAGGGATTCCCCCCTCCCCGCTCCGATCCTCCAGCACTGACTGGTGGAACAGGCGGGGGAGGGGGACAGGTACAGCTGGCTCTGCCTCTAGATAGGCAGAGCCAGCTGTCAATCACGCAGCTGGGTGGATCTCGACAGTAATGTCGGGATCCGTCCTGGCTGCAGCAGTCTCAGTATACCGCAAGCTGTAGCTCGCGGTATACTGAGCTTTGGGTCACGGGAAGACGCTAGTTTGTGTCCTCCCCTGACCCTTAGGAGAACTATGGGGAAAAACACTTACCCCATAGTTCTCCTTTAAGTGTTTAAAACACAACGTAGAAGTTACCTTGATCTAAAAGCTCATATATACTTTTGAAGGCTTCATATCAATATGCAACTTGATAAATATGAATTTGTATTTGGCATTATATTTACATGTGCATCAGTGGCAGGTACAGTAGGCTTTGGTTTCATTATATTAGCCATTTTAGGCTTAAGAAGGCCCACCAGAGGCTATCTTTTGTAGTGTTGTTCAGTGGCCACGCTGGGTAGAAGGTTAATATAAAACACAATGTGTCAAGTTGGGACCGGCCCCTCAAATCTGATGATCTCCTGGTATTTTCATATATAAATACTATAAATAGTATTATGAAATTCCCATACATTGCTATTTTAATTAAACAAAATACTTTTCTCTAGGTTTGTATTACTGATTTGCTTGCTTTATTAAACTGGCCATGACACTTACCAAAGACCCATATGTAGAAAGAGTTAGTACATGTTACACATTCATGATACAAACACCTAGCAGGCTGAGTGTCTTCATAAATAACCTTCAAAATGTCTGAAGTGTAAATGCCCTTCTTATTAAAAAGGTTCACGGCTTATATACAGTATATTATATTCAGTGACAGTTGCTCACTCCTTTGCATAGAGGTACGTAATGATACATCCTTCTTTGTTTCAGGCCCTCTGGGAAAGCAGAACATGGTGGAGATGCAGTCTGCTCCAGATGTACAAAACTTGGGAGAGGGGCAGAGTTTGGTGGGATTGTTTGAGAAATATGGTGTAGACTTGAGACAGCTGAGCGAATCACAACTGGAGCAGCTGTCTGCTTTTCTTCAGCTTACCCAATCAGATGCTCTACAGAACCAGGGTAAGGAAGTCACATGGCCATGGGTGAAGTTGCTGGTGATGCACGTTATGGGGGTGGGGTTGGTGGGTATTTGCATGTTACCTCTGGCCCTGTCTGGCGGCCCACCCAGCTCACTGACTTTACTGGTTGCCAGGTGCTGGGCGGGATGCCAGCCAGAGCGTCCCAGGTTACTAAGAGCTTTTAGCAACTTGGGACGCTCTGGCCGGAAAGGGGGCGGCAGGTGAGCCAAAGAGATCCCACCTAAGGCGACCGCCTCAGGCTGCCCCATTGTAGGTAACCATTAATCTACGTCCTGTACCAATTTGTACTGTGGACCCCACTTTATCTCCTTTCTTCCTCTGCCATTTGTATTCCCCTATTTGTATTTGAAAGTTCTAACCGTAAAATAAATAATAATAATAAAAAATTGAAATAAGAGACCAACACATACACAACTTACAGTCCTGTTATTTTGTATTCTGTATCTCCTTGAACCTTTGTCTTTTTTTTTTGAGAGGTCAATTGGAGAAATATTTACAGAATATATAGAATGCTTTTAATTCATATTTTACCTCTTTGCAGGAGCAAGGAATGTGGATAAAAGCCCGCCGAAAAGAGTGAGCAACATTTTATAGCACATGAAACAATGTAGATTATATGGAATTGTGTGTGTGTGTGTGTTTACCATATGTTGAGTGGTTCATTGCCAAATGTCACTGTCAGAGGCAGTCCCTTACTTTGGTCATTTGGACTGCTCAATTTTTTAGTAAAATCCTTGTTTTTGCCAGTGCAGTTGGCCGTCCATATTATGTTTAATGTGAACCTGTGCCCAGGCTATGGACATTCAAGTACTAACATGTTCATAACAAGCAGTAGATGAGCTTTTAAACAAGCTCCCACTGACCTCTGTAGCTGCAGACACTGAAGTCATTCAAGTTGGGCCTCAGCACTCTGCTCTCCCCCTCTTCCTGTGCATCTGCTTTGTATTTATGTTGGAGATTGGAAGGCTGGCAGTTCACAGGAACAGGGAGAATGGTGAGTTGCATTGCTGTAAATTAAATTGCTTCTGATTTAAATCCTGGGCATAAATTGCTCCGCACTGCCTGCAGCTTCAAAGGTCAGTGAGGGCTTGTTTCAAAGCTTATTTACTGCTCGTTCAGAATATTTCACCTCTATAGTCAGGCCACAGTTGCACTTTAAAGACGATGCTTTCAAATGACAAAGAAACAATTTTAAGTTCCAGTTGAACAAATGTAACAAGATAGGAAGCTTGCAGCAAGACTTTGAAGAAACAAGTTCCTCGCTCTGAGATGGCTGCGTAGTTGCAAGTTAAGCTGAACGAAAATACACAAAAATGCCCATTAATCTGTATTCTTAACTCATCTTGTAAAGGAGCGGGTTTTGTCTTGCAATGTGACCCATTGCCTTCCAAGGTCTCTGTATTGAGAAATATATGTGTTGTCCCCTCCCGGAGCTGGGCAATGCAGCCGCAGATAGATGGTGGCCTTATCTATTAAATAGGAATGGCAGAGAAACATCTTTAGTCTTTGAACCTTTTATTTTTTATGTTTTATATAGTTTTTCTTCCCGTTACTGATGTAAGCATCCCCCATATGCTCAATTCCACACCATCCCTTTTCCAAAACCACTATCTGATAAGTGACCGTAGAAAGAAATGGCCCCAGTAGCCACCTCTCCTCCCCCATTCTACTAATTGGGTAATAAAGTAGAAGTAACATATTGATAAGGTCATACCTGTTATGTCCTGTAAGAAACCGTATTGCATTAAACTCATAGAATGTAATAGAGCTTTATTGGCTTCCACTGCTGGCTCCCGCTACTCTGATTTTTCATGTACAAGGGAGTAAAAGAAGCTAAAATAAAGACAGGTATCGGGTATTACAGTGTATCTTGGGCTCCCTAGTGTCTTTATGGCTATATCTCTCTGGATTAGGAACAAGTGAATTGAAGAATGCACCAAAGGTCCAATTGCACTTTAAAAATAATTAAAACACAACTAGACCCAAGTGTGTTTTTTTTCTATATTTGCATGTTGTTTAGTTTTAAATATCCTTTGTCACAGGTCTCTGAAGGGGAGATGCAGCACTTGGCCCAGGATGAACCGCAGTTCTCATCTCCAGAACTATCCCCAAGGGACATTTCTCCAGCCCCCCTGGCCCTAAATACTGACCAGCGAGTGCCTGACGGGCGCATAAGTGCAACAGCTGCCACTGTTACCACCCACCTTGTACCTGATGCCCAGACAATGGTGGAGCAGCCTGGGAACCCAATGGCAGCTATTGCTGAAGGTGGGGAAATGAAGGCTCTGGAGAAGAAGAGTTACCCAGAAAGCCCAGAGATGAGTGTGGACCGCGGGTATACCCCGCATAAATCTATAGAGGACTATGGATACATCCTGACGGACCAAAAGTGAGCTCCTTCATTATTAAGACAAACTAGCAGGGCTGCAATCAGAGGAAGGGGTACTGGGAAGTCTCTGATCAAATCTGGGGTGTTACCTGTAAAGCAAGAATAGGAGAATAAGACGCTGCAAAAGCTGCTTCTTCTACATTCATACAGCCATTGCCATCTGCATCCACAGCAATTTCTATATCCAATTTAAAGTGTAGGTATAGCCAAAACTTCATTTATTTTAGTTTTGGATAGAGTTGCTGTTTGTGTTACCACCAGGGAGATACCCTCTCTTTTTTCATCATGATGGCCATAGTCACCGAGAACAGCGAGTGATAAGAAATCCAAAATGTTAGTTTTCACCGGCATGGGAGCAAAGAAATAGAAATATTCCAGTGGGGACAATTATCTCAGTGACATCTGTCTGAGAGGGTAATTTCCCCTAATTCAACCTGTCTTAATCTCTTTAACCCAGAGGAACCCTTGAAATAATTCTCAGATCTTGGGGAACCTCTGCTGATACCAACTCATTGGGGGTCAGTGGGAAAATGCCCCTTTCACTGGTGGCTAGTGGGAAGAATGTTCCCCCTTACAGTGGTGGTCAGAATGCCGGCCTATGGACAGCTAAAAAGATCATGTGTGTCATGCTGCTGGCTCTGCCAAGTGGTGTTGGCCCCGAAACTATGCAGGCACTATCAAATAGGGGGTCAGCTCGTGGAACCCCAAGTAGCATCTGGATATTCTGTAATCTAGGCCTCGGTGGAACCCTGGTTGAGTATGGTTGCTCGAACTTCATGAAAGGAAGCGCCACATGCCGTTGACATCACCATGAAAATCTTTATTTGAATATGACAGCTTGCATGATGCCATCCCCACTTACAGACGGCCCAACCCTTATGTGTTTCACCCTCAGGGGCCTAATGCTAGGATTAAGCCTGTGAGGTTAAAACATGTCAGTGGTGGACAGTCTGTAGGTGCGGATGGCATCATGCAAGCTGTTGGATTAAAATAAAGATTTTTAAGGTGACGTCAATGGCGTGCACCGCTTCCTTTCAAGAGCAGTGTGATTCCTGGAGCATGGAGAGGCTCCTAGTCAGCACCCATATTGCACCCGGACGGTGAAGCTTGGGACATTGTGGAGCGGTGATGATCCTCTATATATTGCTCTAACTTAATGTTGTGTCACCAGGGCAGGAAGTGAAAAGAAATCTTCCCCAAGAGGACATAGAGAGGTTGCTTTAACTGACATCATATGCAGATTGAAGCTCATCCCTATGATTTGCAGATTAATGAACAGAGCAGATACAAATGTAACAATGTTACTTTGTGTCTCTCTATCTTGCATCTGAATGATGTTTATAACAGTCAAAAGGTCTGTTTTTTCATAACAGTTGCTTCTACAGCTGCCGTATTTACACAGCAACTCCCAGCTGCCACTTTGACAGCCGGGAATTTTCAGCAAACGCGGGCAGTGGGGAGTTGCAGCAGCCGGACAGAAGGACAGGACATACTACACACGTCCTGTGTACTTTAATGACGTTTGTTTAGGCATGTGTAGCATTGCCCTGTGTCCACAACTGGTTGAAGTGCATTTCATTAAGGCAGCCTGTTTGTTTAGACCAACACGGTATGCATTCTCTTTTTACAGATTTCCTTTAATCCTTGCTGCAGCCTATATGTACCCTGTTCTGCACTCCTGCACTGGTAGATGCTGTGCCAAATCCTCACAACCCTGTGTCTAAAAATAACAGTGTTGCAATGCCGATGCTCCAACCATGGATCCACCTTTACTATATTCAGGAAGCAGTATTAAAAAATAACTATTTGCTAATTCCCTTCGTTTTCATTTTTTTAAAGGCTGTCATGAAGGGTCAAACATCCCTTTAGCCATGCATGATTAATAAAGCATTTCATAACTAATAGAATGTTCATAACTAATGGAATCTGTAGATGTCTGCTTTCTGCAGCTTCCCTTATTGTCTGCGAATACATGCTTTCTTACCCTTTGCCATAGGCTTGTGCTCTACAGGAATCATAATTTTAACGTCTTGTGGAGTTAATGTTTCCAGTTGGCCTAGAATGAGGATCAGTTTAAGTTTAAATTGCTGGTTTACTTATCCTTTCAGGAGTTGACTTCTGTATTTTTCCAACCCAATATCTGATTTAGTTTACTCCTCTATAATCTAGGGATGTACTGGGTTGGGGCTAAGGGATGCATTTGCCCTGAATGGACAAACATCCCCATTCAGACATCAATCAGCAGTCAATGACTCATGCTGCCCAGTTGCTTCTGCATTCACATCATCTAGCAGTCTTCCAGCACCGACCTTCTTTGCTGTTTTGAGATGTTAGAGACCGAATGCCAAGAGCAGTAAAGGAAGGTGATGCTGGGAGATGTAGTGTGTTCCAATAAACTTTGACCTTTAGGAACACCCCCTTTTCACCATGTCCACCAATCAGTGATGTACCATGGCACACTTTGATGGGTACACTTTCTTTGGCCAACACAAATCTATCCCTACCATGAAAGGAAAAGTTGATAGTCTTTGGCACCCAGGCCAACAATTCCCAATTCTACCCTCTATAAATTGTGTTTCATATGATTTACCCCTGGCAATTATTGTTACTGTCACCGTGTTGGCATCTCCCTGTAACTGAAATACCATCTTTTGGTGGACTGATCTTTTATTACTGCTCAGAATATCTGTAGATTCTATTCAGGGGGTTGGGGTGTCTGATTTCTGCCCAGTGCCCACTCTCTGCTGATCTCAGCCCTGCAGTTTTCCGCTTTAAACATTGTTCTGCTTGAGAAATGACAGGCGCAGCATAAACAAGTCACATGATCAAATCAGGGTAATTACAGCAATTTTATGCGATTATTCCAGAGCATTGCAAATGAGTGTTCTGAATTACGCAGAGAACACGATGTAGCATTCGAGCTTTGATGAACCCTCTTCCTCGATTCAGTGTTTCATGACTTAAAACTAAAATTGAAAAATAAAGCACGTGGGTGCAATTCCCAGATGTGTAGATATCATGAGCTTTCAGAGATTAACAACTGATGAAAATATAGTACGCAACGGTGAACAAGAATAAATGTTGGGTTTTATGTAAAAAAAATGAAAAGTCCAGTAGTATGGAATAATCAGCATGGATCAGCTTTCATTAGCTTGGTTCCACTACTGTGAGAAAAGCTGAGTTCTATATTCTGATTGTTGATTTAGCTAAAAAGATTATAACCTCTGCTGGATTTTTATTACTGCCTGTGTCCTCACTGGGGAGATGTCCTATCACTTCCTGTCCATGAAGTGAGGAGAGCCCTTGTCAACAGGTACACAGCAAAAAAAAGCTCTAACTTTCTTTACTTTTTTAAAGCAAAAACTGAACCCAACTTTAAAGATAACCTATGCTTTGCCCATGCAGGGCAAAGCAACAGGTTCATCTTAATGTCCCCTTCCCAGCTGGGCATACAGTATATGGCCAACATTTTGTGGACACCTGGCCATGACATCTATATCAGCTTGTTGCAAATCCCCTTCCAAAACAATGGGCATTAATATGGATTTGGCCCACCTGTGTAGCTATAACAGCCTCCACTCTTTTGGGAAGGCTTTTCACGGGTTTTAGAGAGTGTCTTGGGCTTTTTGTGCCCATTGGGCCAAAAGAGCATTTGTGAGGTCAGGTACTGATGTGAGATAAGAAGATTTGCCATGCAATCAACTTTCCAAAGTATCGCAGTGGTGTTGAGTAGGGTTGAGGTCAGGGCTCTGTGCAGGTCACTCATGTTCCTCCACACCAAACTCATCAAACCATGTCTTTATAGAGCTGACTTCTGCTGGAACAGAAAAGGATCATCCCTAAACTGTTCCCATAAGGTTGGAAGTGCACAGTTGTCTAGAATGCCTCTGCATGCTGTAGCATTAACAGTTCTCTTCAATGGAAACACCTGAACCCAGTCATTTGGAGGGGTGTCAACATACTTTGGGTCATATAGTGTAGCCAGTCACTTTGCCAGCAGGCTGGGAATATCATAGCAGCCTTGTGGACCCCCTGATACCGCACTAATATTAGTATAAATAGGGAAAGATCAGTAACTCAACATGCAACGTGAGCTATGATCCGCAGGACAAGCCACTCTTGTGGACAAGAGTCAGGGACTGCTGTGGGGAGGGTATGTCACATTGTCCTATTAGGGCCACAGTCCTGGGCTTACCTCCACCCCTCTGCCTTTCTCCGTAGGCCTCTGAGCCTGATAAATGGGGTTCGTCTGTTGGAAATCCTGGCCCAGCGAGTCCATCTGTCCACTTCCAGCTTCATCAACATCAGGTGAGGAGGAGCAACATACTCAAGGTGCCTACAGACAGACTGTTAACACCTAATAGTCACAGCAAGAACTCCAGTGATAAAAAATTTCATGAAGCAAAGCAGATCTAAATCAGAAGATAATCTGGTGCACTTTAATGTATGTTTAGCTTGTGGTAGTTAGTCTCATTCAGCTGGAGTCCTTCTGCAATGCTGAAGATGTTTGGCTGTTTATCCAAACAGCTCCTTCAGTTCTGCTCAGTTCATGTGTGTCAGGAACATACCGCAGCATTGATAACCCCCTGGTAACTAAATCATCTTAAACTAAACCTCACAGAATATGTCATGGGCGATGTTGCCATTGCAACAAGATGACAGGAATTGTAAAAGGTTGTAACAGCATTATTTGTGGGTCACAGATGGTGTTAAAAGCCCCAGTTTAGGGATGGTTGTTACAGTCTAATGTAGATGGCCCCAATTCTTGTGGACCATGGAACAGCGTTGAGAAGCAGTACAGAAATCTTCCATCCTGTTCTTGGACATTCGATATCGACCTTGACAAATTCCATGGTTAGAAGAAGGTGACTTAGTTACCTGGCTATAATGCTGAGATAAGTTCCCAACACCCACTAGAACTAAAGAAACTGCTTGGGATCAGTAGTGGAACATTTTAAACATTACAGAGCAAGTCTAGCTGAGTGTGACTACTACTATCTATACCATGGCCTTGATAAATGAGAACCTTCACAGGCAAAATGTATGTTAGGTTTAATCTTTTAGCTTTTGGGTACTTACCTAAAGCCAACAAAAAGACATTGGGGGTTTTTTTCAGTCTTTTGTTGTTTTGGTTTTAGACTCCGGAAGGGTTGGAATCTCTGTCAACTTTCTATTGCATTTGGAAGATGTATTCTTATTTACCATCTATTCGATGGGTGCCAGACAGGATTAGAAACTCTTTCTGGATTTAATAACTGTCTGTGTCCCCACTCTAGAGATTTAAAATGTGAGGCACTTGATCCTATCTTGTAGAGCACAGTGGTCCTGGTTAAGCGGGTCTTAGATACATTTGGGGCTTGAAAAGTGCTTTGACCAAGATCCAGAAGTTGGAAAGAAACAAGAATGCCACACCATATTATGTCATCATCAAAATGCAAGATGCAAAAAAATCCAACGTGTTTTGAGGGTTTGTACAATACTCCTGTCATCAGAGCTTAAGGTGCTTTTTGGGAAGAAAAAATGGCAGATTTCCAATGGCTTTGGAGGGTTTAGGACTAAAGTTGATCCTTCTTCTGAAGCAGGATCTTTGGCTCTTGTTCTTCTAAACATTAGCATTTAAGATCTAACAGAGGTTCTAACCCTTCCTTGCGCTATCCAAAACTAAACAAACAAATTCGGCTGGTGTCAGGCCTTAGCTTAACTTGTGGTTACCATTAGCTTATGCAATTATCCCTTACACTAAAGAGCAGGCACCTCCAGCAGCACGCAGATTTCCTGTACGTGAAGAGGGCCCCAGATGCTCTGATGAGTGGGATCCTCTGGCATAGTCCAGTGGTCCTGAGATAATTGAAAGTGCAATATGAATAAATGGCAGAACCCTTTGTGTTCTGCCTGCCTTGACTACTTGTGTGCTGCTCCTTCCCTGATCGAACCACTGGTCGAGGATGCTGGGCAGTTTACAAAATGGGGTTACTTTACTGAAGAAAGAGGGGCATTTGCCAACTGTGCTCTTATACAGTATATATATAAACCAGGTCTCAAGGCTCTGACCCTCTGACCTTTATGCCTTGTTACTGGTTAGTCAGGCCTGTTGTGAAAGAAGGAGGTGGGTGAGGGAGGATAGAGCTACTGACCACAGAAGTCGGTTCACAGGGCTCCTGAGGTGTTCTATGAACAATGAGAAGAGATGTGAACGTGCCTGTTATTTAAAGTAATGGTTGTTTCATAAGCTGATAATAACTACAGGGTTACATTAAAGTGTATCTGTACTTAAAAAAAAGCAGGCGTATGGTAGGCAGCCAATATGTATGTAGATATGTGTGATGTATATTGTGTAAATATAAATGTTCAACCTGTACCAGCAGAAAGCTATCAGCTGCTCACCCTGAATTTCCATTACTGGAGCCTGTAGACACACAACATTTGGTTCCCATAGCAAAACCCACTTTTGATAGGATTACCCCTTTGACACCACATGTATAATGTGAAAAAATGTGTGACTGATAAATGCCCATAACAAAGGTAAAGATGGCCCTTTGTATCTGCCACCTAAAGGCCATCTGTGCCTCAGGATAAATACGGCCCTCATATTAGCCCATCGGACATAGTCCCTGCCCTCTCCTCCTCTGCTTGTTCCCACTGACAGTGCAAGGAGGATATTAACACTGCACCAGTTCTGCTAGGTATACATTAGGTACATTGGTTGCATTGTAGCTGCCCATCAGAACCCTGGATATTTCCATAGTACAGTTATCCCTTAAAGTGAATCTGTACTTCATTTAATACATTGAGAAATGAAAAGAAGCCATGTATGACCTACCATCAGACACCACAATATGTCAGCTAACTTTAGCCAGAAAGGCCTCTCCTGTACCCCTCTCTGATTTAGTTTCGCTTTATTACTGGGGCATGACTTTCTATGACTCCAACTATCATCACCCTGCCCTATAGAGTTACCCCACGGGTGCAATAACTTATGGTTGATGCTGTGAACCCTGGACATGGCCCAGGACACATCATCAGCGAGACAGAGGGCCGAGATTCGGGTCTGTCTTTGCAAATCCGGAACAACGAACTTGTATGCCAATGAGCTTGCCCTTCCTGACCAATAAGGCAATCTAATTGGATAATGGAATGGTGGATTGCAAGGTATAGCTAGTAGTAGTTGGTCACATTCAACTGGACTTATTTTGTAATGTTGAAGACGTTTCAAATCTTCAAGCCAATCCCCCTTTGTGCACCACTCGAATTACTGTCAGGAAGATACCCCAGCATTTGACACCTTAATCCAAACCATGTTCAACATCTACATATTCCATGGTGATTGGATTAAGATGTCTGTGCTACCTGTGTGGATATAGATGCTGGGATATATTCTTGGTATGGTGGGGATATAAATGCTGGGGCATGTTCCTGGAATGGTGGGGGGATAAATGTTGGGGCATGTTCCTGGAATGGTGGGGGGATAATGGTTGGGGGTATGCTCCTGGTATGGTGGCAGTAAAATGCTGGGATATGTTCCTGACACTCAATGGAAGTGAAGAAGTGGCTTGAAGAAGCTACAAAATGTCTTCAATATTACAGAACAAGTCCAGTTGAATTGGACCTAACTACTACTAGCTATGCCATGACCTAGGTTAGTGGAGAACCTTCAAAGACATATTAGCAGGTTGCAAGTCCAGGGATAGGCAACCTCAGCACTGCAGCTGTGGTGAAACTACAATCACATCATGCCTCTGCCTTTGGGAGTAATAGGTGACAGAGCCTCCACACTTAGCCATAGTATAAAGAATTATAAGCTGCCAGCAACACTTCTCATGAGGGAGAATGGCATAGATGGAGAAGGTTTCCTAACCAGTAGGATCGATCGATGTTCCTGAGGGCTCAAAGCATTTTGACTGTCATCTTACAGGCTGCTTATACGGTATCTAAAGCCAAACCTGTTTTCAGCTTTGGATGGAGCAGGGAAGAGTTATAACCCCTGTCAGGTTTTTATTGCCTTCTGTGTTCCCTTGCTGGGGGACATGCACTCTCTCTCTCTCTGTAAAGGTTCTCATTTAACCTGATTATTATATGGTTAGTAGTAGTAGTAGTTGGTCCCATTCAACAGGACTTGTTCTGTAATGTTGAAGATGGTCCGTAGCTTCTCTAAGACAATTCTTTAGTTCAAACAAGTGTGAGAAACATACCCCAACATTCATGCTCCCATCATACCAGAAACATACCCCCACCATATCAGGAAAATACTCCACTATTTATACCACCGCCATCCCAAGAACATACCCCAAAATTGATAGTCCCTCTATACCAGTAATATACCCCAACATTTATATCACCACCATACAAAGGACATACTCTATTATTTATACCCTTATCATACCAGGAACATACCCCAGAATTTATATCCACACCAGTAGCACAGACAGCTTAATCTATTTTCCATGGACTGTCAAGGCAGATGTTGATTGTCCAGGGACAGGATGGGAGGTGTGAAAATTGTGGAGCCATGCTGTTCTAATTGCATTATTCTGCCTTTGGTAGCAGGAAGTCTGCATAGGTGTCAGTTCTTCGATTCACATGGCTGAGGAGGGTGAATTTCTTTCAAACTGCCTGGGTTGTGCTTCCTGTGTGGATATAGATGCTGGGGTATGTTCCTGATATGGTGGGGATATAAATGTTGGGGTATGTTCCTGATATGGTGGTGATATAAATGTTGGGTATGCTCCTGATATGGTGGGGGTATAAATATTGGGGTATGTTCCTGATATGGTGGGGGTATAAATGGGGTATGTTCCTGATATGGTGGTGGTATAAATGTTGGGATATGTTCCTTGTATGGTGGGAGTATAAATGTTGGGGTATGTTCCTGGTATGGTGGGGGCATAAATGTTGGGGTATGTTCCTGATATGGTGGTAATATAAATGTTGGGGTATGCTCCTGATATGGTGGGGGTATAACTGTTGGGGTATGCTCCTGATATGGTGGTGATATAAATGTTGGGCTATGTTCCTGCCATGGTGGGGGTATAAATGTTGGGGTATGTTCCTGGTATGGTGGGGATATAAATGTTGGGATATGTTCCTTGTATGGTGGGGTATAGATGTTGGGGTATGTTCCTGGTATGGTGGGGATATAAATGTTGGGATATGTTCCTTGTATGGTGGGGTATAGATGTTGGGGTATGTTCCTTGTATGGTGGGGGTATAAATGTTGGGGTATGTTCCTGATATGGTGGGGATATAAATGTTGGGGTATGTTCCTGATATGGTGGTGATATAAATGTTGGGTATGCTCCTGATATGGTGGGGGTATAAATATTGGGGTATGTTCCTGATATGGTGGGGGTATAAATGTTGGGATATGTTCCTGGTATGGTGGTGATATAAATGTTGGGGTATGTTCCTGACATGGTGGGGGTATAAATGTTGGGGTATGTTCCTGGTATGGTGGGGATATAAATGTTGGGATATGTTCCTTGTATGGTGGGGTATAGATGTTGGGGTATGTTCCTGGTATGGTGGGGGTATAAATGTTGGGGTATGTTCCTGGTATGGTGGGGGTATAAATGTTGGGGTATGTTCCTGGTATGGTGGGGATATAATTGTTGGGGTATGTTCCTGGTATGGTGGGGGTATAAATGTTAGGGTATGTTCCTGGTATGGTGGGGGTATAAATGTTGGGGTATGTTCCTGGTATGGTGGGGATATAAATGTTGGAGTATGTTCCTGGTATGGTGGGGATATAATTGTTGGGGTATGTTCCTGGTATGGTGGGGGTATAAATGTTGGGGTATGTTCCTGGTATGGTGGGGATATAAATGTTGGGATATGTTCCTTGTATGGTGGGGTATAGATGTTGGGGTATGTTCCTGGTATGGTGGGGATATAAATGTTGGGATATGTTCCTTGTATGGTGGGGTATAGATGTTGGGGTATGTTCCTGGTATGGTGGGGATATAAATGTTGGGATATGTTCCTTGTATGGTGGGGTATAGATGTTGGGGTATGTTCCTGGTATGGTGGGGATATAAATGTTGGGATATGTTCCTTGTATGGTGGGGTATAGATGTTGGGGTATGTTCCTGGTATGGTGGGGATATAAATGTTGGGATATGTTCCTTGTATGGTGGGGTATAGATGTTGGGGTATGTTCCTGGTATGGTGGGGATATAAATGTTGGGATATGTTCCTTGTATGGTGGGGTATAGATGTTGGGGTATGTTCCTGGTATGGTGGGGATATAAATGTTGGGATATGTTCCTTGTATGGTGGGGTATAGATGTTGGGGTATGTTCCTGGTATGGTGGGGATATAAATGTTGGGATATGTTCCTTGTATGGTGGGGTATAGATGTTGGGGTATGTTCCTGGTATGGTGGGGATATAAATGTTGGGATATGTTCCTTGTATGGTGGGGTATAGATGTTGGGGTATGTTCCTGGTATGGTGGGGATATAAATGTTGGGATATGTTCCTTGTATGGTGGGGTATAGATGTTGGGGTATGTTCCTGGTATGGTGGGGATATAAATGTTGGGATATGTTCCTTGTATGGTGGGGTATAGATGTTGGGGTATGTTCCTGGTATGGTGGGGATATAAATGTTGGGATATGTTCCTTGTATGGTGGGGTATAGATGTTGGGGTATGTTCCTGGTATGGTGGGGATATAAATGTTGGGATATGTTCCTTGTATGGTGGGGTATAGATGTTGGGGTATGTTCCTGGTATGGTGGGGATATAAATGTTGGGATATGTTCCTTGTATGGTGGGGTATAGATGTTGGGGTATGTTCCTGGTATGGTGGGGATATAAATGTTGGGATATGTTCCTTGTATGGTGGGGTATAGATGTTGGGGTATGTTCCTGGTATGGTGGGGATATAAATGTTGGGATATGTTCCTTGTATGGTGGGGTATAGATGTTGGGGTATGTTCCTGGTATGGTGGGGATATAAATGTTGGGATATGTTCCTTGTATGGTGGGGTATAGATGTTGGGGTATGTTCCTGGTATGGTGGGGATATAAATGTTGGGATATGTTCCTTGTATGGTGGGGTATAGATGTTGGGGTATGTTCCTGGTATGGTGGGGATATAAATGTTGGGATATGTTCCTTGTATGGTGGTGGTATAAATGTTGGGTTATATTCCTGGAATGTTGGGGTATGGATAAGCTGCAGAACATTGTCGAACAAATCTTGTTTAATGTGACCAACTACTACTCACCCTCTCTTTTTTCCTGGAGTAAAAGGGAAAATCCAAAATTTGAAGTTGTCACCAGAACAGAAATAGAGGGGAGATCCTCCAGTGGGGACACTTGACATGGTGACAGCTAAGGATGCACGATACTGTTTTTTTTGGTATTGAGTATGAGTACCGATATTTATCGTTCAGTACTCGCTGATACCGAGTACCGATACCGGCACTTCAGCTAGCATGGAGACGACGCCCTGGCCAATCAGGAAGCCGGGCGGCGTGTCAATACCCAACGCCCGGCTTCTTGATTGCCAGGGAAGCTGGCCCCATGCTGTTTGGTCGGCTCAATGAGGATTGGCAGGGAAGCCGACTTCCCAGCCAATCAGCATTGAGCCAGCTTCCCGGACAATCAGGAAACCAGGAAGCGGGTCATTACCTTCCGTCCAGCTTTCTGATTGGCTGGGAAGCCGGCTTGATGCTGATTGGTTGGGAAGCCGACTTCCGTGCAGGTCATTACCAACTGCCCGACCTCCTGATTGGCCGGGAAGATAGCTCCATGCTGTTTGGCCGGCTCGATGCTGATTGGCTGAGAAGCCGGCTTCCTGGCCAATCAGGAATCTGGGCAGTGAGTCGTTACCCCCCGCCTGGCTTCCTGAGTGGCCGGGAAGCCGGCTCCATGTTCCTTTGTGGCTTTGCCAGTCAGAAGAAATCTCCCTCTGACCGGAAGTTCCGGTATCGGGGGTAAGTATCAGAGCATATGGGCATACAAGAACTCACCCAAATACTCGGTATCGGCACCGATACCAATACTAGTATCGGTATTGGTGCATCCCTAGTGACAGCTGTCTAATGGGAGTTTCCTTCACTTTAGAGAGATTTCCTCTCACTTCCTGATGTGTCTACATTAGGGAAAGTGAAGGGAAATCTCCCCAAAGGGGCACAGATGGCAAATAGAAAAGCTGATGGTGGTTTTACCCCTACGCTACACTATCCAAAATAAAAATAAAACATTTAGGCTAAAGATACACTTTAAGAAACTCCTACAACCAAACTCCTGTTACACATTGCACTCTGCATTAGAATCAGGTCTTTATGAAATGAAGTAACGGAATTATACGCAGGAACTGGCAAATCTGTGTAGGACAGGTGCCAATGCACCGGATAGGCAGAAGCTATTTGTTCTATGGGGTTGGCATCTTAATTCTTTCAGATGTGACCTCTCCAGCAGTAGTTTCCCATCATCGGGTACTCATAAAGGTCTTTGACCCGTATAGTTAATATTTCAAAACTGATATAATGAAGTTCTTCGTTGTCGCCGTCCTTCTGTAGGTGAGTCCCATATTGCTCAGACGTTTTCTTTTCCTTGCAGTGTGGCCGGATCTGCTGTGACTTTCAGGATCCGAAAAAATCGCCAGAATTTGACCTTGGCGGATGTGGCGGACCACGCAGGTAGGTGATATTATTGCAAGGTTTAAATAAACACCAAACCATAAGGGTGGCTGTATACACTGCGATAAAGACCATGAAACTGCCCTGAGCATTGAGATTGACTGTCACTTGTTGATGAGACGTCTGTCTGTGCATGACCACCTTAAAGGGTATGTCCAGCCACATCAGTTTTTCTCTGTTATGGATAGAGCAGAAAAGGGATCGAACCCCAATGAGATGTTTATGTCTGTCTGTGCCCCAGTTGCAGGTTTTTCATCACTTCCTGTGTGGTGAAATCAGGGTTTCACCTAGTTTTGATTTAGTGATCCTGCCAGTAGCACACTTCCTGTCCTAGGGGGACAAATCCCATCATCCTCTGTCTCTGGCCTCATGCCTGTCGCTCACAGAGTCTTGCAATGTCTCATGGGACTTGCAGTTCAACAACAGCTGGAGTGCCGAGGTTGCCTACCCTTCTTCTAACCTGTTATACTATAGAATAATGAAGTCCAGGGTTTGATTGTTTTGTTGGTTTTTTTCCAGTTTTTATCTATCAGCCTTTGCAGCATCAAACAGTGCTGAGGACCACGAGAATATGACAATCTATTGCATAGGGGTGAGTGTTTTATCCTGCATCCCTAAATCACTTTCTTTGCCTTTCAGTGGCTCTGAAGTCAGACCTGCAAACCGAGACGGGTGTTAAGATTGTGCAGACAGGAACCGGACAGGTAAGGGTGACCGCGGTCAATATTTCTGCCTAACATTCTGTAGCTTTTCATATCAAAGATATTTCTTTTTGTGATAAAAATATATATACATATATATATGCATTTTGGCAGCAGGTTTGGCATATGCTCAGTGACAAGATGTGCACTTCCACTTGTTCTTAGATGCAACGGGGGTCATTTATAGAAGTTCCACTTGGTGTATAGCTGGGCGCATGCTGTTCTCACAGCGTCATCTGGGGGAGCTGGCATCGTGCGCGAAAGGCATCCGGCAGAACTTTTACAAATGAACCTCTTGGTGACTTCACACATTTTACTTTTACTTAGAACCGGTCACAATCAGGCTTGTGGAAAAATAAGATTATTCGGTCTTACAACAAACTATTTATAAACTCCAATCTCATACCTAAACTTACACTTGCCTGCTGCTACAATACCCTTTGCTACTCAAAATCATGGTACTTCCAGGTATGGGGGGGGGGGAGTACATGTGGCCTGCCTCCTGCCTGTTCAGTAGGTATCCCACTGCATTCTTTACCAGTGAATCCCACAAGATGGGTTCTTAAAGAGGTGGATGACATTGCTCAAATCACTGTAGGATGTTACTCATGCATATTGTCACATGAATGGCAGCGTTTTGGGGGCCGTGCGGGATCCCATCATCAAGCTCAGTATGCCCCCTGCCTGGACGCAATATAGCATTATGAGTCTAAGTGGCCAGTCACGGGCCTGGTGCTCCATACAGTGTATTGTCACTGTCAATTCTACTAGTCACATTTTGGGGCTGTAGTACTTAAATTAAGGCATTGGACAGATCCTAGCACAAGGTGACGGATGGTCTTGAGTTTTAATTTTAATGACAGGTTTGCTTAAAATTCTAATTGTGCAGGCTTGTCTATGGAAGATATATATTTGCCCCCTTACTTAGCTTACATTGTCTTAACCTGACTGTTGACCATGAGAATCAGGAAGTAGGAAGTTCCCAAAGTATGACAGCCCTGGCTTCACATAGCTTCAGATCGTGCATTGCAATGTCAGCTAAAAGAGCAGATGGTTTTTGCACAGTGGTGTAACTAGTGACCTCAGGGCCCCGATGCAAGAATGCAGGAATCCATGAAGCCCCCCCCCCACCACCACCACCACCTCCAAAAAGAAACAAATTAGATTTATTTATTTAAACAAAATTTAGACAAGGAAAAAAAAAAAACTCTCCTCTTTCATGTCCCCAGCTCCCCATTATCTCCCCCTTCATGTCCCCAGCTTTCCACTCCCGGACCCCATGTCACCTTCCTTCATACTTCCAGCTCCCTGTCTCCCCCTTCATGTCCGCAGCAGCTCTATTCGGCACTGGGCAGCAGTTCTGTGTGATGAGGGGGCGGGGATTACACCGCTCCCACTCATTAGCTGCTGCCCGGCTGGATGATGTTTCACGCTGCGCCCGGAACAAGGTGAGGGGAGCAGCGTGAAGCATGTAGGGCCCAGGACAGGAGGAAGAGATCCCGGGACTGGTAATCAGCGGTCACCAGGGGCCCCTTCCTCCTGTCCTGTGCCCCCTCCAAGTGGCGGAACTCCAGGGCCCGGTCACGGCCGCGACCTCTGCGACCCTGGTAGTTCCGCCACTGGTCAGGCAGGTGACAAATGCTGATGAGTCAGCCTTAACTCAAAATAAGGTTAAGTAAAAAGGCAAATTTTAATCTTTGAATCATGGAATATTAAAATTACAATTAGGGGTGTATTTATTAATACACACTCATTCTGAAAAACTGACATTTACATTTGTTCAGGGCAAAAAAAATTGAATTGTCATTAAATACCCCATTATGGCCACTAGATGGAGCTATGGAGCATATTACATAAATAATTATTTCCATTGTTCCTTAGCTCCATCTAGTGGCCATTGTGTGTTATTTTGCAACAATTACATTCAAAATATGGCTCTGGCTCTACATATAAAGAATGGCTCTGCAAACGTTTTAAAGCACACCCTTTAATGTTCCGATTCTGAAATAAGCTCAGTACTGACTAGTGCTAATCTTTTATCTGTTGAATCTCCTGTTAGAGGTCAACTCTGGATGATGGTCTGCATGGGGGTCCCTTGTTTTTGATTTCTCATATCTCATAGATATCAGAGGCTTTCGATGCAAATATATCACACTCGTACAGCTGAACTCACCAGTTACTTGTCTGTTTTACACTAATGGGAATCAAGAGGGCGTGACACTATCATTTGGCTTTAGATTGTAAGCCCTCAGGGGCAGGGCCCTCCTTACCATCTTGTCTTGAACTGTATTGTGATTGTACTGTCTTCCTTATATTGTAAAGCGCTGCGCAAACTGTTGGCGCTATATATATAAATCCTGTATAATAATAATAATTTGGCTTTGTTCTAGCAGTTGGGAAGGAGAGGGCATTCTAGTGGGAAGAACTCATCACTGGCGTCTTTAATAGATAAAATAACCCATCAGGTGATTCAGGTTGTTCCAAAATCACAGATCATTAAAATGTATGTTTGAGATGAAAATGGACTTAAGGTATTTGGTTGTCTACAAATTACAAAATACATTTTTTAGATGGAGCTTTAATAAAACACCTAAAACTATGATTTTAGAACCAGAGGAAGGTTAAAGGGGCGGTTTCTTCTATCTCGGTGAATCTGTTGGTGAGATCTCTGCAACCCCTCCCCCCCCCCCCCCCCCCCCCGCCTCTCTCCTGGCCAGTGGGTGAAGTTCCAGAGTCTGCACATCTGCTGTGCCCCGCTATGAAAGGCCCCCACCATCCCGGCTGGATTTGTAATTATTTCATGTTATGGTGAATGTAACAGGAGCAGCTGGAACACACAGAGGTGGATGAGAATAGCCCAAACCCCTAGGTGGACAGGAGCAGATTGGAGAATTGTGAGATCTCGCTGTTGGAGCATCTAAGACATAAAAGAAACCCACTTTATAACTGTGCCCCTCGGTGATTTCAAAAATAAAAGAGATAAAGCATTGATTTTAGTTCTATAAGACTTTATGATGAATGTAACGAGTACCTGCACATAAATACTATATACAGGCAGTGCCGTCACAAGGGGGGTGTGGCCCGCACCCGGGTGACACCATTGCAGGGGTGACACCAAAATGACTGGCAGTCATTTTGGTATCACCCCCTCTAAAACGTCGGGCTCTCGGTCCACGATCGAGTGCCCGACTTTTTAGAGGGGGTGATACCAAAATGTCAGGAGAGAGGAGGGGACCCGGTGGCATACCTCATCCCGCCGGGTGAACGTCCCCTCCTCTCTCTGCCGGCGTCTATCACCAAGATGGCCAACGGCAGGTATCACCAAAATAGCCACACATGCGCGATGTCATCACAGCGGGGCGATGATGATGCGGCAGGGTGTCACCCGGTCACCGGGTGACACCCGGCATCGGGACACCCCTGTATACAGGGTTAGTATTATTTTAATTCATTTAAGGAGCAAATCAAGAAGCAGAAGAACTGAGAAAGGCCAAAGACAGACAGACAAAGGTTGAACTTGATGGACCTGTGTCTTTATTCAACCTCAAATACTACGTAACGAGAGGCACACACAGTACCATACCCCTCAGTCATTTAAATTCTGTTTTTTTTTTATATTCTAATTCATTTCAATTATTATTATTATACAGTATTTATATAGCGCCAGCAGTTTGTGCAGCGCTTTACAATATAAGGAAGACATTACAATCACAATACAAATCAAGACAAGATGGTAAGGAGGGCCCTGCCCCTGAGGGCTTACAATCTAAAAGATTAACATATATATATATATACTGTATGATGAAAAGATGGTGGACACCTGACCATCCCACCCATGTAAGCTTGGTGGACATCTCAGTCCAAAACCATGGACATTAATATGGAGTTGCGCCCCCCCCCCCTATGTCGCTATAGCAGCACAACTCTTCTGGGAAGGCTTTTCAGAAGGTTTTGGAGTGTGTTGGTGGGAATTTGGGCCCATTCAGCAAAAGGAGGTCAGGTACTGATGTTGGATAAGAGGACCTGGCTCACAGTCAGCATTTCTATGTGTTCAGTAGGGTCAGACCACTCAAGTTCCTCAATAACAAACTCATAAAAAACATTTCTTTTATAGAGCTGGCTGTGTACACGGGGGCAGTCGTGCTTGAACACAAAGGGACCTTCACCAAACTCTTACCACAAGGATAGAAGAGCACAATGTCTTTGTATGCTGTAATATTAACAGAGCCCTTTACTGGAAACACCTGAACCCAATCACTTGGAAGGCTGTCCACATGCTTTTGGCCGTATAGTATACATGTGCGACAGTGGCGGACCTAGGGAACAAAGGGCCCTGGTGCAAGATTTTTTTTGGGTCTTCATGGCCAAGGCCCAGGGCTGGACACTGAACCGATCGTATCCGGCGGCCGGACACCAGCGGACCCCCCCATCTCTGCCCCAGGGCTGTGTTGGAATGGATACTGGGCCCCCCTGTAGGTTGAGGCCCCGGTGCGGCCGCACCGGCTGCACTGGCGGTAGGTCTGCCCCTGATGTGCGATTCATTTCGTTACGAATCTCAATGCATCCGAATCCGAATTTCCGTTTTCAAATTTTGGATCCCGTCCAAATTACGGTCAAAAACAAAATTGAATCGAACATGTGACTTTTCTGGTCATTCAGATGTGTTTTTCGGTTCAATGCATCCGAATGGGTCTGAATACGAATTTTCCTTACGGTAACATGGGAGTCATATACAGTATATACACATAATACTAAAGCTGAGGCTCCCAGACCCGAATGGCATTCAGGATACGAATTTCCGAATTACATTCGGGTCTGGGAGCCTCAGCTTTAGTAATATATGTATATGGTCCCCAGACCCGAATGGCATTCATGAACTCCCCAATGTAATTCGGAAATTCGGATCCTGAATGCCATTCGGGTCTGGGAGACTCAGCTGTAGTATTAATACCTGTATATAGTTTTCTGTGGTATTCACAACAAATATTCGTACATAAACTCATCCGAAACTAAAGAAAATTTTGATTTTGTGCGAA